TCCCAGAGAAGGCATCGATGTTTGTAAATGCATAGTCTCTGGTGGCATGGGGGTACTCTAAATATGCAAAGAACCGAAAGTCCTCTCGAGAGGTTGATGGTAAGGGAAGAGGGCATGGGAGACGTCATATGAATTGCATATGACCCGTCTCCCCTGGATGCTCTCTACATCAAAATTGAGGACGGAACTGAGCAATGTCGTACTGTCACCTCTATGGTGCTCATGGCTCTTGCCAACGACAAGTGCGATCTTGCGGTCCTTGCCACGATGAATTTCGTGAACTTGTTCTGATGTTGCTGTCAGCAAGAGATAAGTCACAACACAACGCAACATAATTTTCAATTCTACTTTATAGAAAGTTCAAATTTTTTTTACAAAGTATTACAAATAGTTTATATAAAATTGAGATAGTTTATAAAAAGTTAAAATGAAACAAACATGCATAATAGAATAATTTACAAAAATGAAAAAAAATTATCCATCAAATTAAAAATTAAAAAAATGCTGGAAAATGCGAAAATTTTGCTTTAAAGATGAATATATCAACATAAAACGACGAGAAGTTTAAAAGGAAAGTTAATAAATCAGACTGTCGAAAATCAATTGATAAATGAATTAACTTTTCAGAAAAACATTTTTTCTTATTAGAAATGAAGGAATAGTATTTTTAATTTTACAGTTAAAATGAAGATATAAAAAATTACTCGAGATAGCTTCCAATTTCCACTTTTTATCTGATGAGAAACTAATTTTTTTTTAATCCTAGGCATTTGTGCCATATGTCGACAGTAGCATAATAAATTGATGAAAGTATAAAAAAGCAAGGATAAAAATTAGCTTCGATAGAGTTGACTGTAATAAACTTTAAATTAATCGGGCAGTTCTTAAGATGGTCACCATCCACATCACCCTGATGACAGAGAGAGCAACAAGCCATATTCCAAACAATAACTCCAATCCGATGTAAATGTTGCTATAAATAATCATGGGCAGTTGTGAAACGAAAGCAAGCAACTCCAACAACCCGAGGTAAGGAAATGGTTATTGCATTTCTTTTATTGAGCAGAATATTCCACTTCTTATCCACTGTTGCATCAACACATAAGAATATTCTGCTATTTTTCATTTTCTTATATATAAACCTTTTAATATTATGCAAAGGCAAAGGGGAATCAGGTTGGACCAGGAGGCTAAGATCCTTCAGGATCCGGCCTGGGCCTTGAAAAATTAATGTCATTGATTTTAAGTGTTTTAAAGATTAGGTTAGGATGGATCTGTCAAAGCGCGGGAATTAAGGGAGGGATGGTTTGGTACTTTAAAACGGATAAGCTTCTTACTTGGTGTTTAAATATCCTAATGATATAAATGGTCCAGATATTTCGTCAGAAGTATCTAGTTTTAAAAGAAAGCTATTTCAATAATTCTAGTCGCCAGTTCATATCTTTCAAATATAATTCAGAAATACAGTTTAGTAGAATCATATGTGAATTTAAAAATTGTGTTCAAATATTATTAATCTTGTCAATTAGTACTGTTTAGATGAAAGAAGCTTCAAAGAAAACTTGAGAATAATAACGAAAAGCAAAATTCTTTTAGACCTCTAAAAAGCTTTCAAATATCACTATTTTCTCTGTACATAAATTAAAAAATATATAAGTATTAAAATATTAGAGTCGATTTTACCTTTTTAAAAGCTTAAATATCAGAGCAATGATTTTTATATTATTTCAGTGTCGTTTGATATTTACCAGGAAGGCGCTATTTATTAAAATGTTTATTTAAAGGCGCATATTCACTTCCTTGACTCAGGTGAAAAATTACACAAGCAAGGATCTGTGCTGTCACTTTATATTATTTCTAAAAATAATTTATAGAAGTTAGATTGAAGTACTAAGAACCGAATAAAATCACTGCTTTGTGCATGCCTAAACTATGAAAGTGACCCCAAATAGAGAAGTATAGATTTACCGTAGAATTTGAAATCAATTTTCATACCGAGCTTGCAAAGTACTTGAAATTCAAATACATGGCCAATGTACAATATAAAAAAGTTAGTGTTTAAATAATACAGTAGATTTCGTCGAATTAGAAGTCGACTAATTCTATGTTAGTAACCTCACAGGACTCTAAAATTGAGTTAAAATGTACAATCTGAAATTTTCAGATTACAGTCTACACCCGTAACAAATTATCATTAAAGTTTTAGAAAATAAAAAGAAAAAGTAATAAAATTAAACAGAAATTGAAAATTGCAATCTGAATTTGTTAGGCAGGTTTTAGATTAACTCTTGAAAAATAATCTTAATCTAAGCAGTTACGATAGACTTAGTAATTTAACTAATAGACCAGCAGAAACTAAACGTAAAACTTAAAGATATGCTTAAAATGGTCGAATTGAAATGGTCAAAAGTCAAATTGAAAATAAAAAGTTACTGAAATAGTATTTCAACTAAATTTAACGCTACGTGGGGAATTGTAAGTTTATATTCAATTTATTGAAGGGAACTGGAAATTCGTGAAGAATGTTGAATTTATTGAAGAAAGTACTTAATTATTCAAATTTCATCTGTACATATGTTTAACTAGATCACTGTGTACGAGACTTGCATCAAATATTCCACCTAAGTGACAACGTTTCTTTATTTTGCCAAGACATTATATCCACAAACTGGAAACAATAAGCACCTCCAAGGGGAATCTTTGTGGAAGGAGTTAATAATAAGGTTTGAACAATTTACGGTGACTGTTATTTTTCTGACACCTTCTTTATATTCAATGCAAGTTTTCTATAACACATAAGGATTATTGTTTTCAATATTTTAGATTAATAAACTATTTTAAATCAAAGGCGGATTTATGAGTTGGAACAAGTCACAATTCCGAAAGATTCCCTTTTCTCAAAAGAGCCCAAATTCGTGCATTTATGTTTAAATAACAGAAAATACTCCCTATGCCTCAAGATGAGCATCATTTAGAAGATAACTGTAGTAAACCAGCTAATTCATAAATCTGCCACATGTGTGAATGCAAAATAAAAAATGCAACATTACAAAAATATAATGATTACGATATTATGGTAAGAGGTTATCCCTTCTAAAATGGAAAAATAATGCTAAAAGAACAATGCATTTTCCAGTTTATTTTAAATGCATTGCTCTTTTAGTGTTATTTGTTTGATTTTGAAGAGAGAACTTCTTAGCGAGAATATCATAATTAAACCAGGGATTTTTAACAATTATTTTGGAAACTGTAACTAAACTATCACTAAGGTTAACATGGCAACCATCAGTAATTCAACATCGGCAGGTTTAATTATTAGTCCAAGGGGCAATTGCCCAGAAAGACTATCAATTTCGATTCGGCATTTTGCGTTGGTTCAATATAAATGGCGATTCCCTTTTCAAATTGTTGCCACCAAATATTAGAACCCTGTATTATATTTAAAGAAATTAAATAATGAAGAATCATCCCATATTTGTATGTATGTTTCTTGCATTGTGATAAAACGACGGTACCTAGAGCCATAAAATTTTGAATAACGTACGTTTCTACCCGAATATGGGCATCTGGAAGCCCGAATTTATCACGTATTTTTGATTAACAAACTCAACGATTTCAAAGCAAGCAACGGCAGCACTGTACGGAAAAAAAAAAAAAAAAAAAAAAAAAAAACATTTTTATCTCCAGCGTTCAATACAATTTTATGGTTTATTTGCGAAGAACGTGGTATTTAATAAATAAAAGTAATACACACACAAAAAAAAAAAAAAAAAAAAAAAAAAAAAAATCCTAAAAAACGCCCCTTTGAGCGCAATGTAAAATCTGAAAGCTTATATATATATATATTCAAAAATAAGAGATCCACAGTAATGAATTTTATCAATGATTAACACTTTTAGCACGAGGCCTAACGTCTGTATATCTCTTGCTAGGATTATTAGCTCAAAAGTGTTATTTAATTTCGAAACGCAATTTTGCGTTGATTCGCATAATTTTCCTCCACTATAAATGCATAGCTTCGCTTTTCATTCGAGTCTGTTACCTTTCGGCAAAATGTAAGATATTTATTTAACTTTCAGGTTCTCATTCGTCTGTATTGATTTACAAACTAAACTATTTAAAAGCAATAGATGCAGATCTTAAGACTTTTTTAACTTTTTAAGCTGATTGATTTAAATGAAAATGCATTTAATTCACGATACTTCTTACTAAAAACATTAAATATTTTTATAGAATTACATTGTATATTTTTTAACTTTTGAAATACTTAGAAGATATATAACGTTCCTTTGTTAGTCTTAATATATATTCAAATAGTATTTTATAAAATGTTTCTTTCTCTGTTTCTTCAGAACTATCTCTGCTAATAAACTACATTAAACTTTAAAAGAGGCCTTTTGGGCGACGATCGTTAGCATCTGAACCCTTTCAGACTTTTTTAGTTATTTTTTTATTTTTATATTTTTATTGTTTATTTGTTTGTTTAGTTAGTTATTTTTCAAAATTACTTTACTTTCATTAGAATTTGGAACATTTGAAAAAAAAATACTTGATTAAATAATAAAGACTTAAGTAATCTAAACTAACTAATGTTTTTATAAGAAAACAGTGATAAGTGAATGGACTTTGCCATATTTTAATAACGTCTTTTTGGTCAGTAAGAGAAATATTTAATCACTTAAGTGCCAGTAAAAGAAAATAAATATTGGAGATGAGACAGCTTGTTATGCTAAAACGATAAGATTTCATATAAATAGGAATCACATTTAGGAAATTAGTTTTTTCAAGATTAGGAACTTCGACCAACGCAAACACTCACACAAACATAAACATAGAGCACTTCCGGTTTGCTCATTACGGAGCAGATGTTGGCAACCCTAAAGGTGATCAATAACAACAAAATGCTCGGCGGCCAAAGGCCTAGCGATAGGATCTAAAACTAGTATTCTCTCTCATTAGCGCATAACAACAACAAACAGTCTCTTTGTCCATTCACTTACCGCCATTTCGTGAGCCAATCAGGGCCGAGGATTTCTTCATTAATTCTCGTTAGCGGTTGTGACGTCATAGCGGCGTAAAAACAGAGGAGGAGAATTAACATGGCGGAACTCCGCGCCCAAAATAGGTAATGGCTGCTAGCCTTCCTCGCACGCAGTTGCCGTGGTTACCGTGACGTCACGAGCGCTCTTAAGTTCGGTAAATACGCGAAAGAAAGCAGGGAAAAAAATATTATTTCTTTTAAATGCGCTGAAGCATGTTTGCAAACTGCAGAACACATGTTACATACTGAAAATGAATTTAAAATCTTTTTCTTTTTCTTTTAGCTTCGTTTGAAAGATACTATGTAAAAATCATAATTTTCACCCTATTTGAAAATAAATATTTTTAGTTTGTAAGAAAAGTGACAAGCAGGAGATAAATGAAAATTAATAGTTTCCTAGTGGGTTAAAATTTTAAAATTGATACTTACGTGTTAATTATAAATAACTCATTTTAAAATAATATCACCTATTATAAAATTAATATTTCCAATTGCAAATATGATATAAAAATTTCTTTTAAGGTAGTGAAAATAGGTAATGATTCCATAAAATTCCTAATTTTTGTATTTAAGTGCTTAATTAAAGACTATGTGACTAAAATTTGTTTATTGGCTTATAGATGATATCTCAAAAGAATTATTTAATGTACATAGAAATATAAAATGCGGTTTCGAAAAATAGTTTCTGCTCATATTTTAATTCTTAGGTAAGTTACAGTGCTTTCATTTTTATCTGTCATTTGGTTATAGTTCTAAAAGGTATTAGAAACTGAATTAAAAGATACGCATCAAAGAATTTTTAGACATTTCTGATTGATGCATGGGGTTTAACCAAAAAACATTTATACATTTATTACATACTATTTCTATTTGTAAAAAAAAAAAAAAACTCTTAGGAGGAGTACAGAGAATACATTCTTATGAAATAAATACAATTAGAAATAGACTAGCATTTTAGAGTTGCAACACCCCGCGTAGCAGCAAATTTGCATATAAGCCTTGTCTCAATAAATACTAAACGATTAATAGTTAACACATTATTGGAAGTTTTACCGATTGTATAAACAGAAGAACAGTAAATTAATACACGCTTATATGAATTGTACTATATTCTTATAATAAAGTAAGTTAGAGGGAAAAAATCCTTTAAGAAAGAAAATACGAGGAAAAGACATAACAGAACTGTAGCGCATTCAGTAAGTTTCATACTCAAATATCTATTGTATTATGTACTGTAGAACACTGTAGATCTTTTATTTATTCTTATATTAAAAATCAAAAATGTAAAGTCAATGTAAAAAGAGTAATTTTTCTGTACAAGGTGTAAGCATAAGTAATAAAACAGTGGAAATGCGTTTTCTAAACTGTAGAAAGGTAACAAGGCAAATGAGATTGCATTTTAGAAACCTAACCTATACATCAGTTAATAATTTCTATAAAATTATAGTTGCATGCAGTATTAGAAAATTCCGCTACTGCCAGCTCACGCAAGATGCAGGAATACAAAACAACAGTCATAGATATAAATAAGGGCAAATAAAAGTTTAAAAAAGAGAAAGAAAGAAATCTAAAAGAGTTTCAGATTTTAACGATCTCCCAAAAGGATTTATTAAGGCTTTTTTTAACTCTCACTGAGCCTTTTTGTCCCCAGTCTGCTGTTGCACTCACTTCTGGTAACTCATTTCTCAAAATGAAATGTGTCAGCAGAGAATGAAAAGAAATGATTAAAAATAAAACTTTTATTCATTTACAAGCAATTAATAATTAATCAAAATATAGTTCCTATCCCCGTGTTATTTTTACTTCCTTATACGAAGTATTGTAATCGTGAAAAATTCAGGCATATCTCAACGAAAATTAAACCACTTTCGAAACCATCTGAGCTATGTTTTTGCGTCACATCTGTATCTCGCATAACTTAAAAATGAGTAACCGTAGAATGTTGAGATTTTGTACGGAACTGCTATAACATGTACTTGTGCATATCCCTTTTTTATTCCAATCGGCTACACCAATCGTGTATAGATATATATAATCACGCTGTTACCTGGTTCGGTGAGCTTAGTTTTTTATTCTTATATGTTGGTAAATTGTGCACTTTCTGCTTTAAAAGGGATTGAATTATGTAATTTTTATGTTCCGGTTAAGGTTTTAATGCCTTTAGTTAATCTCTATGCAATAGTTGTAGAATTATCAACAATTTAAAAGTGTCGAGTTAAACCTAACGAACCGCCATTTGCTTACGTTTTGAAACTCAGTAGAATAGTGAATTCAGTCAGTTTCTGCACCTTCAGTGTCTTTTTGCCGAGTAGGACCAAACGTAAACTTTCAGTTTTACATCAAAAAATCTGCCTTCTTTCCCCCTGGCCTAATTGCTTGTTTTTGCATAGAAACTATAATTTTAATTTTAAAAATTGTTTTTTTAACTGTTTCAATTGTGTTTGGTGTTTTACGTTTTTGCGTATTTTACAATTTTTAATTAGGATGATTTGCGTTTTTATGTATTTTTACTATGCCGCGAAGTGAGGGCTGAATTAATTGAATGAGAAGTGTAGTATCTCTAAGGAATTTCGAGGAAATAAGTTTAAATGCAATGCGGCGAAAATGTGAATGATTTAATAAACCATACAAAGACGTCATGTGGTGTCCACATCAGATTTTTTAATCTTGTAACATTTATAACGAAACATCAATGAAAGTTTATAATGGCACTATAAAAGAAACATAAATCAAAACATTTATAATTTTAATTCTTAAAAGCCTTATTCTAATTAATAAGAAGTTTTGCCTTCCTAATTGCAACTGTCTTAATATGTATCATCCTCGCTAATTGTTTTTGGGCATATTTCCCTTTTCTTATAAATTAGGCTTATGTTAACGACATTAGTAATGCCAAGAAAAGAATGCGACTCTTATTCAACTCCATATACTACAATTCAAAACAGCTGTGCATCACTCGGGGAAGGGGGGGGAACTGAGAAGTATTCAAAGTTTCAGTTAGCCCATTCGTACATATTTCCCTCTCTTCTCCTAATTCCAAGAATCAACATAGTATGTTCCTTTATGCTCTTGAATTTAATTCGAGTGCACACTATTTATGTTCTTAAATTTAGCTTCCGTTGTTAAATGGCTTGCACACATTTAGTAAAATGAAATGCTTTGCTCTCCCTTTTACAATTTTTTAGGAACAATAAATAAATAAATAAGAAAAATGTTTATGTAACGAAATTGCATGCTTGTAACAAAAAACTGTGACACCCTTTGTTGTTTAACACCTTTGTTGTTTAAAGCTTTTAACACCCTTTGTTGCGAATATTCTGTTCTTTGGAAAAGAATACATGATTAATTTACGTGTTTTTACTATGTCTCGGTCCCCAGCGGTTGAGTGGTAAAGTTGTTAACCACTAGCTGTTCTCCCTGTATTCGGTTCAGGTAAACAGGCTAATTGCATGAACGCATACGTGGTTTTTCTAATGCGTAACGTGGATATATGAATATGAGCTAATTTCCCTTAGTAAGTCCTCCACGAAACTATCCTTTCTCTTAAGCAGATAACCTTCGCGTGTTTTGCCTTAATTAAATAAACCAAACCTTAAATACGTCATTTAATTTAATATACGACTGCTTCAACTATCTGATAGTTTCTAATGAAGAAAATAGTAAACAAGAAGGAAACATTTGAAAAAAATTGGAAGATTGAAACCTTAAAATAATATATAAATTTCCTTCATTTATTCTCTAATTAAATAGTATTCCATATTAATCATAATGCAGAAAGTAAAATCCAAGAAAGTCCAGAAATGCACATCAGGAGTCAACACATTTAAAAAAACCTGAAGATATAACCATTTGGAACCGAATTGTTAGGCTAGTTTTCCATTAGCTAACACTTCGCTAAGTGTTCGATGAATTGTAGATACTTTTAAGCACATTTGAATGCAAGGGAAGACACTTAAATCGCAGATGTATTTTAGATTTTTCTCCAAATACATTGAGTGATGTTACTTATTTATGTTTAAAATATTTTTTAAATACGAATCTTCTATATTACAAATTATTGAATACAATACAAAAAAAGATTTTAACAATAGAATTCGTTTCAAGTAACCGAAATCAATAAATTTCCATTTCAGACATCAGATTTTGAGTCTTCGTCATGGATGAAGCTGGATGTTTCTCTGAAATTGCTTGTCTGGCGAATATCCTAGCATATACAACATATCGTTTCTTAAAATTTCAGGGTATAAGTAAATTTTAACTAATAAGTTGTAAGATTAATTCTTCGCCGTCATATTTATTGGCAGCAATCTAAGCGGTGGTTGGTGACTCATCACCTTACAGAACCGCGATGCTCTCTTTAATGAAGAATATCCGAGAACTTTTTAGGCTTTCTTGTCATTGATACAGTCCTTTAATGACTTCCAATACGACAATTCCATGTGATCGCTTTTTAAGATCGAGATCGTATATGAACATTTGTATAGCTGAATTATGCATAGTAGCAGGCGCTAATTTCTCAAAAGAATCGTGGAATACATTTAAATGACAGTTATGATACAAACGCGAGATAAACCCAAAAACTTATGTAAACAGTTTTAAAATCCGGATGTAGAACGGGGTTGTGCCGAAAATATGCAGAATCCATAAAAAATGGAGTACCCTATTTTTGAAGCGCCCCTGGAATCTCTTTCTACTTGTTTTCGCAGCAGCTGCCCAAATTAGAACTGCGTACGCCATTATTGGCTTTATGACAGAGAAGTGCCCAAAGATTTTTCTTAAATCTCACCTTCTGGAGGTTAGATAACTGATTCTCATCAAAGTACAAACATTCATTAAAAGCTTGAGAACTTTATCACACGACTAACCCAGTGCTATTTTTAAAAATGAGATCTTTTCCTAATTTATCTCTAGATGTCATACTATAGAATTATATGATATGCCACTGAGCGTAAAGCGCAAGGCCCGGTTCGAATCCCGGAGAAGACATGAATGTTTCTGAATGCATAGTGTCTTTGCGAAAGGGGGGCACTCTAAATATATGGCGAGCCGAAACTTCTTTCGTGTGGTTAGGTGGTA